CAGCTAATGGATCCATTAGCAAACTTCCCACTGAATATCCTGTCTTTATCACTGCATGAAATTTTAATAACTTTAAATCATTACTATAGTTGAAAGTTAAGAAGGCCTTTTTGTAAGACCTTTTTTAAGGCATTTGTTTCACAGAAGTGAAGACATGTCTTTTCTCGACAGATTATTTTTTTCATGCTAACATTGAGAAGTGAAGCTGTAGTAGCAGTGGAAATCTTCAATGTTTTCTTCATCTTTTTATTAGCCATTTATGAACCTCAAAATAAATTATTTTTCTGTTAGATAGCATGAGGAGTTACTTTTTAGTTGGAGGATTTTTTGTATGTTTTAGGCAGTCTTGCCTTTGTAGTGAAAAATCACGTATGTGCTCTTTTTTAGCCATATTAATAATTTCAGAAATGAAAAGTAATGAAATCAAAATGTTGCAAACTGCCCTTCTTATTGATTTTCTTTTGCTGTACCTCTTAGTTTTGGTACAGTACCCGGTTTATATGAGAAGTTGAAAAGAGAGGAAGGCCCTAGAGCATATGTCACTTTGTGGCACATTGAAACTGTTACATGTGACTGTCACTCCTGGCCTTACCTCAATGGTGAAGTCTCCAGAAGGCAACTGGCACATGCTGCACTGTAATAGAAGAGCAAGATCAGAGGATTTTTCAGTTGGCCCAAAAAGGAAAAACACCAGTTTTCTTGGGTGATTTTTGTTCAGTTGTTGTTTTTGTTTTTCGTTTCTTTTTTTTTAATAGTGTATGGGTTTTGTTTTTAAACACATTACAGCAAATGAAACAAACATGAGGCTCTCCCAGCCCTTGGTCTTCAGGGTTTCAGATGCTAACACCTGTCTTCAAAGTGCTGATGGGTAGAGTATGGGGGAAAGGGAACAATGTTTGGAGATATTTGCAGGCAGCTTTGCTCTAAGACATGTGACTGGAACAAACAGTTTATCCACCCAAGTTGAAATCACCTCTTTCAATGAAAACTTTATCTAATCTTCCTTCATGCCAGTAGGAGACCTTCCTTGAGCCACTCCTAACAATGCTGTGTCCCAAGGAACCAAGGAGTAACTTCTTTAACTGCCAGCTGGACGGAGCAAAGACACATCAGATAAATAAGTGGTTTCCTTGTGACACCCACCTCTCTGGGCTGGATGGAGAGCCTGTGGACACCCTGAGCGAATTTGTCATTATGCTAAGATACAATGGCTTTAGAAGAAAAATTTGTTTTTCTTGTTCTAGTAGCTCATCCTTAAAGGAACGCAGAAAAAAGCCAACACAAAGACTTTACTGGCCACACTTTTCAATTGTTGTTGAAAGCTTTCCTCGTGATCTGGCACTCTGCTATAAAAAGGAGTTGGAAAGATAAGAGGGCAGCGTTGACTTTCTTGGAGCTCTCATCTTGTCAGAGTGTTTCTTAAGGGTCTTCTTCATTGTCTGAGATGTTTGTAGAGTATTGAATGACAATTAACTGTTGCCTTTTATAGGACTTCTCCAAAGAGTGCAAATCTAGAGATGCTACTAAAGATGATGCTGTTAAAGATGATAAAGATGCTCGTTTGATTCCTACTGAGAATACTGAAGTACTCTCATTCTTCTATTGATTTCGGTGGGCATCCTGTTAACCTTCAACTATCCTTAACAATGATCCTTTTAGCTTCTGTTTCTACTTGAAAACATTTGAATATAGGTTTGTTTTCATCTAGAAGGCAGAACAAGACAGCTGGGCATGCAGTCCATGCCTTTCTGAACATGGTTTCCTGATAGAGCTCCAGCAAGCTGACTTGCCACCTTCTCCCACCCAAAATGTATGGGCACAGTGATCAGAATCAATAGGTGAATGTTTGTTTCAAAGAAAGAACGAGATGCTGAAGTTACTCAAATAGGTTGTCTCAGACACCAGTCTTCTGTGAAATAATGATCTGACTAGTGGGAAGTCAGTGGCTTGTGAATAAGATACCTTGGGACAGCATTTCTTTAAATAAATGGATTTCTGGAGTGCAAATAGGAAATTTTCCATCTGAATCTATTTCTAAAGAGTTCAGTGTGTCAGAAAGAGAGCTGTTAGCTTTTTTGACAAAAATGTATTCCTTAATGTGTTTTTGCTGGCCAGGTAAAGGTTGATAAAAAAAGTTTTTTCAGTTACATACATTTTTGATAACAAATGCAGTACCAGAATAATCAAATCCAACATTCCGCATCAGCTGCTTAGGGATTTTTTGTTCTTTATCCAGCAATTTATTACAAGACTAAACAGTACTAAGTCGTTGGGGGTTTCCCCCCACAGGATGGACAGTCAGGGTTTTCTTACTACTCGCTCTTGGTTTATGTCATCTTCCCTCCCTTCACGCCTCTAATTCCTCCTCACAAATGCATATACGGAGTCTTACTGCAGTTTGCAACTGTTTTTTTTGCTTTTGAAAGGTAAGAAATTTGCTCAATTTTGTTTTGTGGGTATGCAGTTATAAAAGTAGTTTACGTTTATGTCTGCTTATTTCTGAATGTCTTTTTCTTTGAAGTGCTGATTGAATCTCTTGAATCTCTGCAGTTAATCTCTTTAACCCCTGAAAGAAGATTACCTTAACAGTGAAGTGGCTGGGGAGGGGAGAAGCAAGGGAGAGGCTGATTCTGTTTTTCTAGAATGAATTCAGGTCTTCAATAAAGGCTTTTTTTGTAACCCTCAAGCATACCAATAGTAAGTTCTTGTCACTAACACAGCCTTAGGAGGTGAGCACGTATGAGTGATAGTTAAGAGCCGTTCAATCAAATCAGCAATTCCTTGGGCAGAATCCAGCAGTTTTACCGGACTTGGTAAATTTTTTACTATCTTCTTTGTTTGTTTTTTTTTTTTTTTTTTAATATTGACGTCTTATCAGCCTGCTACAAGTTAGATAAATGCCAGAAGGAAGGAAAAGCATTTGTGATGGACATTTGGACTGATGTCTCTGTACTTCCTTTTCATCTACTTGATTAACATTTGTAGTGTGCTGGACTTTTGAATTGTGTGCTTAACTTCCAGCCAAAGGCAAGGAATCAGTGCTTTTAGAAAAGACATTTTTGTAAAGGTGATTGGATTTTTATTCAATGCTAGAAAGAAAACATTGATTCAAGTTTTTTAAAAATAGTCAAGTAGGTCTCAGAGGATGACAAGAATTCACAATAGGCAGCCACATGGCCAAAAGAAGGTATTTTGGATTACAGTGTCTCTTTGCAGTGGTAGAGAAATTAAAAGGATGTGATTCTGATGTTTGGCTTCTATCGTGAATTAATAACTGGCTTTTCTACTGTAGATAATAAGGTGTTTTCTGTAAAGTAGTTAGGCACATTGCATTCATATGTGTATATTCAAGCCTTGCTCTGTTAACATTTGTTCATAGATAATAAGTTGGCATTAATAGTCTAAGAAGTAAAAATAATTGAAAAGGTATGCTTTGTGATGATTTGTTATTCTATGGAAAACCTTAAATGTGATTTGTAAAAGGGCAGTTACTTGACTTTGTTGCTGCTTGTTTCTGCATCAGTAATTGTATTACATTGCAGTATTAGGGGCTGAAATGACAAGGTGAATATACTTAATCTTTTTGAGCATTAAATTTTATAAGGTATTTCACTGTCTGTGGACCTTGTTCTTTCCAGGAACTCTGATTCATGGTTCTTGAGGAAATGACAGTATCTTTATTATTGTAACAGTTAGCTATACTGAGGGTATTATTTTCTCAGTGTGACTATATTAAGGCAGTATTGGTTTAGTAAAATTTGCTTCATTCCATATTTCTGTGTCTAATAGTTAACAAGGTAAGAAGGAATTGAGAAGGAAGAAAAGAATTAGTCACACATTGGGAAATACCGTGTTTCCCTAATTGTTAGTTAGTCCATGAAATTATTGTTGTACTTATCAAAATACATGGTTTTCATGCTTTCAAACTCCCGCCCTTTATTCTTTTTATTGATTCGTTAGAGAATGTGGAGTAGTTGATTTCCTGTGTCTGTAGTGGTTTTACTTTTGTAGTTAGAGCAGATTTTTAAATCCCCTCCTGCAAATAATGCAGGACTTTTTATGCCATACTAGAGCTGCATCTAATAGATGCTGCTATTTTCTTCCTGATTTGTTTCCCAACTGGGGTAAGCCAGAAAATGCCTGCTACCATTTGTCACCACGTGATAAATGGCAGGTGGTGACTTCTTAAGGCTCAGCCGGTGTTAATTGCTGGCGACAGGTCTCTCTGATTCCCTTCAGCAGCAGGTAATAGGTGCCCCCACGGTAATCAGCTCTGGCACTGTCTGCCTGTAGTGGGAGCTGGTGGCAGCCCTGGGCCATTAGGGATATAAATTATCACCTGTCCAGGCACGGTTCTGTTTCTAAATCCCTTAGGATATTGTAATTATTCTTGGTTTTTCTGTAGTTTTAGTTACTCTAGAGCTTAACCCTATCCTGTGGCTGTGAATATCTGAGGTTTGTTCGTGAGTTGTATTTGGGGGCTGGCAATGGATGAAAACTTCTTTGTCTTTAAAGATGTCACCAGTTGGTCAAGACTTCATTGCACAGATGCTTAAAAAAGAAAGCAGGAATGCCTCATTCGTTTTCTTTGTATAATTGCTTTGGATTTGCTTCGTATAATTGACTCTGGATTTGTCACATCTGTTTCCCCCTCCACACTGCTATAGAAGACTCCAGTGTCTTTTCCTCATTTGTTGCCCAATTCCCCCTTTCGTTCTTTGTTACCATTTACAGTCCATCAAGTAAGCAGGATGAAGAATCCAAATGTGCTGTTACTATGTGAAGTTGTAAGGGAAAATAATTAGGGCTTCCCTGGTCTGGTAATAATTTAGATTTTATTCCAGAACACTTTTTCAGAGTTTACACTCTGCATGGGGTTTAGCAAGAATAAATTAGCATTTGGATTAACTTTTTGGGACTATTCTCTGCTAGCTGTCTGAAGACAACATGAAGGTGAACTCTTTTTTTTCCTTTTTTTTTTTCCCCTCTCATTCTCACAGAAGCAGCCATGGGGTGTATTAAAAGCAAAGAAGGTAAAGGCCCAGCCATGAAATACAGAACTGAAAATGCTCCAGAACCTGTTATTTCCCATGTCAGTCATTATGGATCAGATTCCAGCCAAGCAACACAGTCGCCGTCAATAAAGGGATCAGCAGTTAATTTTAATAGTCATTCCATGACTCCTTTTGGAGGGCCTTCAGGAATGACACCCTTTGGAGGAGCATCATCTTCATTTTCAGCTGTGCCAAGTACATATCCTAGTACTTTAACAGGTGAGTGTTACATAAAATGATGCTCTTATTATTTAGTATTATAGCCACTTGACAGTCATAGTCAAAAAAATACTATGACAACTTGCCACACAGAAATAAATCGCAAATTTAAAATAAATTGCCTTTTAGAGATTCCTGATTTTCCATATCTTTATACTGCTCAGATAATAATTCAGCCTGTATTCACTAGTGACTGAAGGTTGAGTGTTAAGGCTTTTATTTTTGTGGAGACAATTAGGATCACAGCATAGAGAAATTTAAGATTTACTAAAGACAATAATGGGAGTAGTTGATACAATTAAATTAGAAGTTTTAAGGTCTTGAAAGGATGCATATAGGATAATGGCTTTAAATTTGGAGAGGTGAACAAAATGAAAAACACTTCAGATTCAAGAAATTGAAAGTAATCAGACTTAAAATCAGTTTAAAATATCAAGTTATATTAATACAACATTGAATCAATTTATAAAGCTAAGCAGGATTTGCATTATATTCTATGTACTTTACTATGGGAACAATATGTGTGAAATGAAAGAGTAGAATTCCCATTGTTGGTGGTCGTATTAAAACCAAAATGGAAAATGTAAAAATAGAATTTGCGACACAGAGAGACCTTCTTGGCTGAGATATAGGAGATACAGCATTTTAAAGCAACATGCACATTTGATGTTATAAACCCACCTTTCTATCAAAATCTTAAAACTCACAAAAATTATTTTGTCCATATAACTAAGTTCATGGTTTGGTTGGATATTTTTGAGAAGAAGCTGTGATTTACCCTTTTTTTGAGAGACATTAAAAAGACTAATTTATTCTAGAAGCTCTGTACAGAAACTTCACAAAATAATAAAATAATAATTTCTTATTAGTCTATTTCTAGTTTTCCCTCTAATGTTAGCACAGTTGTGGTGCTTAAGTGTTTGGATTGTTCCAGTGGCATATAAAGTCTTTTAAACACAAGTAATTTGAGATCCATGAAAATGCATTCTGACCTTGGCATTAAGCAATTCAGGAAACCAAATATGAATTGTCAGGTAATGATCACCTCGTAGTCCTTTTCTTGGGAATACATTAAAGACCAAATAATTAAAATGAACATCTAGCCTGTATCATTTATGAGTCAGCTCTGAATCCCTGTTGTGGATGAACATATGCAGAAATTAAAAATGGGCAGCATTCCTTTATTTCCTTTATTCCTTTATTTTCATTAGCCCTACTGTGTTGTATTTCATTTCCCTCAAGAACCTTGGCATATTTCTTCTTACTAGATCTGGTTATTTGGTCATGTAGGAAGCTCCAGCAGTGCATGCAGGCACTCCTGTGCATAGTCAGACATCAGAGATGTAGCCCCCCACTGGGTACCACAAATCCTTTGCTGCAAAGACCAGAAAGGATGTCCTCTTGCCTGTTCCTGGTGGTTTTTAAGCATGTTATATCTTGAACCAGAGTCAACAAAAGAGGTTTCTCATGAAGAGAGAGTCTTAATATCTCATTAGTGTGAAATCAGTTATCAGCAGGCAGGCTGATTTGTGTGAATGTTCCCATTGATTTGCAATTAGGTAAAACGATACTGCATATGAAATTATTCCTCTTCGTTCTGTAAAACTAGCCCATCCACAAAAAACCATACATTTAAATAAATACATACATAAGTAAAATTGTGCTAACAATTATTTGGTACATTCAGTACTGCTTTCAGATAAACTAAAATTGGGTGTTTTTGTGAGTGAGTGAGATGACAGCCTTCATCTCCTGTAAGCTTTTTGTATTTGTGACCAATAAAACACTGGATCACATTCTGTCACCCTTTGCTTCACAAGAGAGGAGAATAGATGGGCTTGTCAAACAGGATGTAAGTGTCAGTAGTACTTACCCAGTCGATCAGTGATGTGTGACAAGAGGATGATATGGTTGTCATCATGGCCTGTAGTGAGGCTGAAAAGAGTTGAGCCCTCTTTTATTCCTCTAAAGCAGTTAAGGAGAAGAAATCTGAGTTAGTCACACTGCTCCTGTGTTACACACTGTCTGTCTTTAGATACTTTGAATTCATAGAATATTGCTGAAAATCAAAACAGAAAAATGGACTGCTGTTCTTGCCTTCCATGAAGCTGTGCTAGTGCTCTGTAATCCCCATGCTGAACAAGAAGGTAAAGTCTTCTCTCCAAAACCAGTCATAAATTAGAGGATGGAATACTGACCTAATAAAAGGAAAATCTTTAAGGGAAGCCTTGTGGCTACAGATGGCTTGAGCAGCTAAACTAGATCACCTCACAGTGTTCACAAAGAAAACAGCTGCAAGAGACTTGAAATATCATTTGACAGTATTTTTGTTTAAATCTGTGTTGGTGTTGCTCTCTCAAGTATTTTATTATTCTTTGCTATGAAAAAATAACACTTGTGACTGAGAATAAAAAGGTTTTATGGTAGCTGAAGTTTTTTCAGTTTCTTTAGATGCAGCTAAAAGCTTTTGTGATAATGTGACTTGAGAGTATTGATTGTTTTCATCTGCTGAAGAACTCTTTGGAAATGGTTTATTTCCTTAACACTTGCTTTCTGTTTGTGTGAATACGGTTATATCTTCACTGTTTTCTTGCTCCACATAGCAGTTTGTGTCATCAAAATAATGTAGTAATAAAAATTGGTAGAATTGTTTTGATTTTTAACTTAAATTAGGAGCTGCTAACTTGTAAGGAATATTCTAATTCATTTTCAGTTCATAAATCACACTTTAAAAAAACACCCTCAATTACTCTAACCTCCTGTGGGGATTTTGTTCTGTTTTTCCTAGCGGAACTATAAATTCATTTCCAGCCAAGGCCTGCTGAGAGATTGTAACCACAGGAAGACTCCAAATCAAATGAAAATATTTAGGTGATTAGGAGCTCTTATGTCAGAAAGTGTACATTGCAAAAGAATATTGAATATAGACTGCCTTCATTGCATTATGTATTCTTCCTTTCTGGTCACTGTCATGCTGATTGTAAGATCTAAAATTATTTGTAACATATTTCTCTTGGTGGACTTTCATATATATTCTGATATGTATATGTGCATATTAGAGAGGTAGTGTTATACATTTAAAAATCTGTAGTTGCTTGGATGATCATTAGGCTTCTTAAATGTTCATCAGACTAAGAAACAGCATTTCTAGGGCTTAAAAAGTCTTTCTGAATTGTCTATTCATGATTTTCTATTTTAACTTTCTCCTAGTTATGGTACATGGTTCTTTATTTTTGCAAGTAGCTTGTACATCTCGAACAACCTGTTCTCTTTTCCCTCTTCCTCCTATTCCCAGTTTTGTAGATTAGTTCTTTGAAGTATAGAAAAAGGTTTCCTGCTGGTAGGTGTGGAAGCCTTCCTACCATCCACCTCTCTCACATATGTCCTGTTTGGGGGACATGTTCAAGAGCGTGCCCTATGCCAGAAGTGGGATGGGAAGGTGGATTCCTTGGGGTTGCTGGAGTGCAGCTGTTCCTCGTGACCTGTCTTGGCCCTCGTTCTCTGGAGTAATGCACTGATGGATCATCCTCAGCAAGGGTCTGCTTCACATGCAGGGACACTTGGTGGAATCAAAAAAATCATCAGTGCTAAAGCAGAGGAATGTCTTTGTCTGTAAGAGAATACTTTTATTTCTGGTTCAGTTCCTTGGAGTTCTTGATGTGTAACCTCAGAAAGTTGGGAATGCATCAGTTATTTATAGCTGAGTGCAACAGGAACTTTTGCTTCTGTGAAAATTAGTGGCTGATGGTTCACCACTGTGGTGGTATAGATTCTTCCAGAATTGCATTTCTTAACAAGAAGCAAGCTTAATAAAGAAGCTATGGGTTTTGGTTTTTTTAAATGATGATGCGTCATGCAGGTTTCTGTATATAAGTGCTGTAATTATTAATGTAGTTCCAGTGATGTGTCTAGTGGTCTTTTGTGGTGTGGAAGCATATTTTCAGAATGTCTGTTTATAGGCTTTGCTCTGTCCTAAGAAATTAGCAGGTTATTCATCTGTCTTCCAAAATGAGATGCAACCCAGAGTGTTTAGTTGCTTCAAAATCAAAACTGATTAATTGTTTCATGGACAAGTACTTAAATCAGGTTGCAACATTACTGCTATATCATATTGGATTTTTTTTTCTTTTTCCTAAGGTGGTGTTACTGTATTTGTGGCCTTATATGATTATGAAGCTAGAACTACAGATGACCTTTCATTTAAGAAAGGTGAACGGTTCCAGATAATAAATAACACGTAAGTGTTCTCATTCACAGACCTTACTGGGTTGTTTGGAATAATTAGATTCAATTTTTTTTTAAATCTATGTATCCCATTTTAGTGAAGGGTAGATTGATGGTTTTTTGGTTTTGGGGGTTTTTTTAAATACATTCAATATTCAACAAGCATGAGGTTAAAATATATAATATTATTAAGACCATAACTTCTCAGGTTGTGATCAGGGTTTGGGTGCAGGTATAGCACTGTAACAACTGTGGTAACCCCATGCCTCTTTTCAGTTGGGTGACTTCCTTCCCTTCCCTGCCCCAGCAAGGCACAGCTACCCCCTTTGGGGCAGCAAAAGTGGGGACAGGTCCATTCCAGACTCTACACCTGGATTTACTCTCTGATCTGGAGAGGCAGATGAAGACTAGACAACTCAGAAGTTTATTTACACATCTCTGCCATAATACATTCTGGTTTTACATTAAAAAAACAACCCCAAATCTTTAAAATATGAAATTCCACTAAGAGGCATTTGTGTTGCTCACAACATGAGATGTATGTAGGTGTAGCACAAACTAGTTTAGATGCCTTCATAATTAAAATACCATGTTATCTAAATTTACCTGCCTTTCATATGTGAGTACGTTACAGGTGCCATGGAATTGTGTTGTTTATATGTGGACGAGGTAATGATATTTCATTGCAGGGAAGGAGACTGGTGGGAAGCAAGATCTATTGCTACAGGAAAGACTGGCTACATCCCAAGCAATTATGTAGCTCCTGCAGACTCCATTCAAGCCGAAGAGTAAGACACTCTATCCTGTCAATCTTATACACTTTGTACCCTGTGGTGATACTGTTTTTTAAATTCATTATATGTAACATTTAAAGGTAGAGTAGGAAAAGACTATTAATGATAGAGTATCAGTGCTACTTGGATTATGTCAAAGGTATAATTATTACTGAGAATGTGGTGGGCACACACACGATGTTTCATGCCTGTTTGCTACATGTGAGGCTAAAGGAGAAAGGATGGGAGAATTCAATAATGATAAAAATTGAAGGGCACACTTTGTGTATCATATAAAGCAAAAATGGATGGGTTTTAGCTAAAGAGTTCACACACCATCAACTCTAGGTTTTTATCCTTATCTTTGCTTGCCAAACCTTAAGTCAAGATCAGCTATATATACTTGGTATGACCGAACCATAAATTCTAAAAAACCATTCGTGTGCACAATTATTGCTCATCTGTTAATCCTGTAGTAACTTTTTGGTGACAAAATTGTTTGGTATGCTAAGGACTGCTATGAATTTGGAAAATTATACTGTTTTGTGTACCGTTACTTACTACATTTATTTACTAACGTCCTGGAGTCCTTAGACAATCACATAAAATGAGCCCATAGGTTGGAGTAGAGTTTTAGCTTATACTTGTTCCAAGGGATTGTATTTGTTGTACTAGAAATACAAAGTTGCACAGCTCTTGTTTCAATATACAGGCATGATTCTGTCAGTCAGCAGTTCACTGATATGTGATCTGTGCACTTCTCTGTTTGATACTGCATGTCTGGGAAAAGTGCCTGATTTTCAAGATGTTTCCTGAATCTCAAGCTGAGACTTTAGCATCTTGGTGCTGCTGCTCTCACTTGGCTCTTAGCTATTAAAAAATGATTGCATCAAAGATGTTCTGTTATTTTTCACCCTTGACTTTCATCTGGGTTTAAAATTATTAACTCTTGTTTAATTTTGGGGGAAAAAAAAAGTCAAATATTTCTTCTTTTTTTTTAAACTATGCAGTAAAAGTTTGTCATTACAACTGCAGTGGTGGTAAAATGGAAATAATAGCCCTTTTCAAAGAAAGTATGGCTCCTAAACACTGGCCAGAACAGTGGTGAGATTTGTCATAGGTTTATGTAATGACTAGAGGTGAGTGTGAAGGATGATGAATGAGGAAGCTTTTAAAAACTGTTTAATTTAAAGAACCAGTGCTAATTTTATGAAATATCCCCACAGTATTTGGAATACAGTTCATTTGCTTTGGAGTTTGTTAGCCCTGTGCTTTGATAGCGTGTAGATTTTGTGTTGTGACTGCAATTAGAGTTATGAATGCAAATGCAATACAGAGCCCCAAGTTGCCTGTGGCCTTTTCTAAGCCTAGAGGCATTTATAACAGAAACTGCTTATGACAGGTTCCATATTATTTGTGTACTGTTTTTAATGACACTATAATATAAATGTTTAATTGTCTCTAAAAAGGAAAGCAATTCAACTCTACTATTATTTTATAGGTAGTGAAGTAAAACAGCACTTTATAATATCATTTGTAAATTGTTGTTGTAGTCCGAGGAAGAGGCATTTTCATGTGAAGTTATGAGCTAGAATTCAGGTTTGCTTCTGTAAGATTATAGATTACATCCAAATTGTCTCCAGTGTGTATGCTTTCATATCCATTTCTAACTTAGCACATCTCCTTCAACACTCAAACTGCAAATAGACCAAAATGTAGGAATAAGTTTCAAATTTCCATGTGATTGCAGAGGCCATTCTGTTCAACAAAGTGATTCCTCTTTAGCTACATTTTTTTTCCCAGAAATGTTTCACCCAGAAAGCCATTATTTTGCAACAGTTTCTAGTACTAATTTTCCCATCACTTACCTAGCCAAATTAGCTTGATGATAAGATAGTGACGGACGAAAATGTTTGAAATTTACACTTTATGTCACTTTGCAACTTTTGAGGTAGCTAATAAAAACAAAATGTAGATAGAAATAAGTCTTATTCCAAAGTCTGGGGATTCATCTGAAGATGCACCTTAAAATTATCACTGGCTCAGGACAGTGCTGTGTGCGGGCTGTTCATCAGGATGAGCACACTGTGGGAATGTAGAAGAAAAAGCTCTTCTGTGAAAGAGCTGAAGGCAAGAAAAAATGCAAATCTTTTAAAACGTCTGTGTTCTTTTCGGTATCAGAATGATTCAGCAGTTTGGAATGTTACAGAGAAGTAAATGATACCTGCCATAGGGTTGTTCCTGAATGATCAGTAAAAAAAAGTGCTACCTCTACTGAGGTAGAGAAAGATGGGAGGCAACAGAAACTGAAACAGGAGAGTTTCCAGCTGAATATAAGAAACGTTTTTACCTGAGGACAGCAGGAACCTGGCCACAGGTTGCACAGGTAGACGGTCTGTCCTTCAAGTGTTTCAGGCCTGAAGCTGACTACATCCTGAGCAAATAGGTCTAATGTCACTGCTGACCCTGCCTACAGCAGGAGGCTGCACCAGAGAACTCCAAGGGTCCTTCCAGTCTGAATGAACCTGTCATCCAGTGATATTTATGCACACTCACTTTGCATTAAGTACTGTTTTCTAAAATAAAGCCTGAACTTTTTAAAGAAGGGAGTTTCAACTCCTGCAGCGTTGAATGTGCTACTAAAGTGTGTCATCTGATTCATCTTGGCCTGTAAAGTTAGCCTGAGGAGGGTGTTCCTTTCAATGTTAAGAACAGTTGATGTCTGTTGTTAAACCAGCAGAAAACTATAGTGTTTGCATATACAGGCCTCTTTACATGTATTTTGTAAATTATAGAAATGAGAATATATAAAATGGAAATAGATCATATTAATATTGTGATTATATTGATGTCATTGCTTTTGTTGATCTGTATTTTTTTGGGATACTTGTAGCCCAGTAGCTGTTTTGGAATAGTTCAGTCAGTGCTTGAGATTTCTAAATCTTTTGCTTACATGAGTACCAAAGCATAGGAAGATTTTTTTGTTTACACTTTTCCCTTTAAATTTTCTAGGTGGTATTTTGGTAAGATGGGCAGGAAGGATGCAGAAAGACTACTCTTAAATCCTGGGAACCAGCGTGGTATTTTCCTAGTAAGAGAGAGTGAAACCACTAAAGGTATGTATATGTCTGTGTATCTTTCCTCTTTCCCATTCCCTGCTCTCCCCAACACCAAAGTGAACATTTTTATGCCTATCCCATGATACACCTGAATGTGCACACCATATATCTGTACAATGACAGCTGGGGAGATATGTTAAAAACCTTTTTTATGTTTTGGTGAAGAACCAGTATGTGACTTTTTTCCTAGGTGCTTATTCCCTTTCTATACGTGACTGGGATGAGGTCAGAGGTGATAATGTAAAACACTACAAAATCAGGAAACTTGACAATGGTGGATACTATATCACAACCAGAGCACAATTTGAATCTCTACAGAAGCTGGTGAAACACTACAGAGGTAAGCCCAAGTTCCAGTGTCCCAATGTTACCCTGTGCCTACTGTGAGGAAGGACTGCATACATAGCTTATTCTTAAAATTCACAACTATAAAATTTCTGATTTCAACAAAAAGTAAATGGACTAGTTCTTTTTTATCAACATTAAGATGTTGCTTTTGTTAAAGTCTTGCTCCTGCTTAACTGTGAAGCTATTAACTATTTTTCCTATTTTCCAGAACATGCTGATGGTCTGTGTCATAAGCTAACAACTGTATGTCCCACTGTGAAACCACAAACGCAGGGACTAGCAAAAGATGCCTGGGAAATTCCTAGAGAATCCTTGAGATTGGAAGTTAAATTGGGCCAAGGATGTTTTGGTGAAGTATGGATGGGTAAGAGTTTAATATGACACATTTCAGTTGTTCCTGTGATGTTTTAATGGTATTTTAAGTAAATCAGTATCGAGATCTGAAAAGATAGTATCATAGAGAAATGAAGGAAAAAATGCCAGTTATGATCATGCATGTAATGGTAAAATTGATACTCAATATAGTTCTATTTATGATTATTCAGTTAGCTAAGAAAACAGAAGCAAGAAAGAGTTTGAGCAGAGAATTTCTTCTCTAATACAATGGGGAATAAAACCTGATCTGTTTCCCTAGGAACATGGAATGGAACCACAAAAGTAGCAATCAAGACACTAAAACCTGGTACAATGATGCCAGAAGCTTTCCTGCAGGAGGCTCAGATCATGAAGAAACTGCGACACGACAAGCTTGTTCCGCTGTACGCCGTTGTTTCTGAGGAACCAATCTACATCGTCACTGAATTCATGACAAAAGGTGTGGGACAGGATAGTTAAAAATACTACATTTAAAAGGTTATTTAACACCTCAGCAATAAATCAAATGTTTAATTAATGTTAGGTATAAGCTAACTGGAGTACAAGTGTTAATTTTGATTAAATTAAAATGAGCAACGCTTGACCTACTTGGAGCAGTTCTGATTTAGATTATGGGCAGAGGCATGATTCTTTTGCACATCTGTGTCACCCTTGCTAATCTTCCAAGTACAAGATTGGGGATTTTTTCCTCCTCATTTTTAGTGTGTACTGTCCCTCACATATAAATGAAACGGTGTAGCTGGGAATATTATTATGAGGTTATGCCTGCCTGTAGACAGGTCATGCTAACAACAAAACATGTTGAGCTTTGGGTTATTTGGTGTTTCTTTCCCAGCAGTGTAATAGTAAACTTTAAAAAGGTTGAGCATTTTTTCCCCAGACTCCCTCCTTTATCCTCTTGTTTTCAGTCTTTGATCCTTCTTCCTTTGCTCTGTATCATTTCCCCCTCCCCCTGCTGCTGAAACAGAGATTTAGAGATTTAGGCAGAATGTAGAAATAAACATCATAAGCATATTAGTGTTAAGAAGCAGCAGATTTCCAAGTCAATTACTCTATTTTTTATAAAATGCAGGCTTCTGTTCGACTCAAAGAGAAATTTTGCTATCCTCATAGGGATATATTCTGAAAGGAGTGGCTAGTTGTGTTCAGTACTGCACCACAAATGTATGAGTTTGCTTTTTTCCTGTTTGGATGGGGTTTTTAAAGGGTTGGATAATTTTGAAAAGGTAAAAAGGAACAGAAAATGGAAAAAGTTCCTTCTGCATTTTTGTTCCTAAATAACACTAGACAGCCATGCAAAATCAGTTTTCATTGTTCAGAAATCAGGTTTCAGCAAGGCAGTAAGGAAAAAAATACTTAAAACGGTCTAAAAAAAAATGAAACTTACTACCAGAACTGGTTACCTTGCAAAAGCAGAAGAATTGTAATTGGTCTAAATTATGGATTCAAAATCCTGTTGGAAGCTTCTTTTTATAGCTTTCCTTTGACAAATTTTTCACATTTTACAAAAAACCCATAGAACTTCTTTGTTCTAAGCTAGTAAAGCAATGTATTTTTATTTATATTTCCCCTTTCACAAGGAAAAGAAGCGGGTACAAAATGCAAACTATCCAACTGTTTTTTGCAGTGTGGGCAGGTTACTAGAGATCAGTGTGAAATCTTTGCTCCTCTTCAGTCGTTTGATCTCATGAACCAAGGTCAGAAAAAGTCTGTGCAAACACACACAGCAAACAGCAGCAGCAGTGTGGGTCTGGCCTGCCACATTTTTACTTTCACTGTGCAAAAGTGCAGTAAGTCACTAAACTTATGTTGGAGAAATCTAATTCAGCGTTACTGCTATGAATCCACTTCAGGATATACAATCAAGTGGTTTCTTTCCCCACCATGGCCACACTTCTAATTTTGTTACTGTAGTTTTGACTGTGACAAGAGTGATTTGTTATGAGTCTTCACCAGTTTCTTAGCAAAGAGGTCATATTCTTACCTGGGGTGACATAATGCCACCTGTAGAGAGAACTGTTACATTGAGACAAAGTTTAATGGCACAAGTAAAGGTTGTTGTCCTAACAGAGCACAAATCCTTGCAACTGATTTTTCAGATCCTGCTCATGTAATGTTCTGGGTACGATTGCATTATATTAATGGGAGAAAATAAGGTATTGTAAGGAATGGAAGATAGTTTTCTCTGTAAGAATGAAAAAGTGACAAAAAGAGCAACAATTTCACAATAATTTCTCTAATATTCTCTAATATATGATTTGGGCTGGCAGAAAAATTTAAGTAAGGGATAGAGGTTTTTTGTTCTGTAATTATAAATCTCATAGTAGAAGAAAGTCCAGCTAGGAGGAGTACTGATACCAACAACATTGGAAAAATTCTAACGTGGTGCCAAAACCAGCAGTCTGTTTTATTAGTGTTTAGTTATTTGCATTATTGAAGTGGATTCCAAACCACTTGGATAGAATTGCACTAACAAGTTATCAGTGCAGAGGTAACTATGGGCATGATCATTGGTTCACATATTCTGGTAAATGATGGATTTTCAAACACAGATTTCATGAGGTAAATGTGTCAATTATAATGTCTAAGAAAAAAATCTTATTTGTGTTTTTAGGTCAAGTTAATGTTTTTGGGTTTTTTTTCCCCCCCAAAATGTCATGTTTTACAGGCAGCTTGCTAGACTTCCTTAAAGAAGGGGAAGGGAAATACTTAAAACTCCCACAGCTGGTCGACATGGCTGCTCAGGTACCAAAAAAAACTGTATTTTGTGCTTAGAGAAGAGGTATCAGATGTCAACTAAACATAAATATTGAATGCTCTGGCTGTTGTTTGCTGCTCTGTCTTGCACCTTCTGTTATGGGCTTGTAATTTGTCAGAAAGGAAACAGTCTGGTTTGCAATTAGCAGATACTGCATAGCCAGACACACTAATCAGTGCCAAGCTCTTGATTGCTATGCTATAATTCCTATATTTACACAATGGGAATGGAGCTAAAATAAGGGGGTGCAGCTTAATACTTGGGAGAAATGTATATAGTCATGAAAAATAACCTTTTATAACACTTTTCTTTTTGAGATTGCGGATGGCATGGCTTACATTGAAAGAATGAACTACATCCACAGGGACCTCCGGGCAGCTAACATTCTTGTAGGAGACAATCTTGTATGCAAAATAGCAGATTTTGGTTTAGCAAGGTTAATAGAGGACAATGAGTACACTGCAAGACAAGGTAAGGCCAGTTAATTTATTTAATTAATAAGACTGGTTGCCTTTCAATTGCTTAGAACTATTACATTCAGCAGAACATGCCTGTGTATTCTGTATTCATGGATAAAGATCACGTATGGAGCTGTGCTTTCACAGCTGTGTTTAGGTGAGCTCCTTGCCTATGTGTAATCCTGGTAAACTTCCTGTGTTCAAAGTTATGTGACAGTTAGTTTGTGTTTTCAGAAAGCATTTTTAATTATATTTGGGGGATAAAACATGTTACAGTTTGAAGAAAGATGAGATTCCAGAGAAGCTGTTCGTCAGATTCACTTTTTGAAACGTATTTAAGTGAGACTCTCAGATGTCTTTAGTGCTTCCAGACATTGTAGCCAGTAGTTGCTGTCCTAGTTTGAGAAATATTAAAATACTATACCACCTTGAATTTTATCAATAAAGCAAAGTATAAAAATTCTTTTAATGCATTATTCTTTTCAAAATATTTTGAATTGTAAGAAATTGTGGATTATCAAGGGAAAATTGAGACTCTGTCTTTCCGATGTTTGTAGGAGCCAAATTTCCAATTAAATGGACCGCTCCAGAAGCAGCGTTGTATGGTCGGTTTACAATCAAGTCGGATGTGTGGTCATTTGGAATTCTACTGACAGAGCTGGTAACTAAGGGGAGAGTGCCATATCCAGGTAACAGGAAGATTTAATGTATTTTTCTTTTCTTTGTTGTATTCTGTGCCTCTGAAGTTACCTTTTTTACTTTTTCCCTTCATTCTGAGCCCACAGTTGACAAGCAGAGACAAAAACTTAGTCACACCTCACTGGCTCCTTTGTTCACAAAGATACTTTGGTTTATTTTCAGATTAAATATTGCATATTTTAAAGTGTTTTAAAATAATAGCACTTCTAAATGTGACTGACAGTTTATTTCAGATTAGTGGTATCTTTGTGTTTCCTATCTGTCTATTCCTGATATTTCTACTTTTGACATTTTTCCCAGGCTGCAGAGAGCATCAGTACACTGAAGTTGCTAAACCAGTTTTTGAAACTAGACATTTTTTCAGCAGATATTTTGCTGGATCTGTAATTTGTAAGGCAGTTATGTTAGGGATATATAAATCCTTTTTCTTGGCCTGATTTCAAATTAAATGGTCCTTGAGTGGAACCTAAGGCAGGGAGAAGCTATTTGTGCTTGAGTCTCCTTTCTGAAATGACCTGTCCAAAACAGTGAGAAAGGGAAAAGTACCAGGTGTTGAGGAATTACCAGTGTACTGAAATAATGTTCAGAAAATGTATTTAATGCAGAACGTAAAAAAATCATTCACTATAAAGCGTGTTCATTAAAGGTTCTGTTCTGGTAGAACCACATGTATTGCAACTGCAGAGGTTCTTGAAAAACTTTGGGAAACTGTTCTTTACATAATGTCCTTCAGAGCTAATATGCTTTCCTTTTAGGAATGGTGAATCGAGAAGTTCTGGAGCAAGTGGAACGTGGTTATAGGATGCCTTGTCCACAAGGCTGCCCAGAGTCTCTCCACGAGTTAATGAAACTGTGTTGGAAGAAGGACCCTGATGAGAGGCCAACGTTTGAGTATATACAGTCTTTCTTGGAGGACTACTTTACTGCTACAGAACCACAGTACCAGCCTGGAGACAATTTATAAGCCAACAGTCTATATAACATGCACAAATCTGCCAAATGTTAAAGACTTGCAAAGAATTCCTGAAGTCTCTAAGGAATCACAGGAAAGAAAATCTTCGCTACTTTGCATGCTCTTAATGGCAAACTGGAATTTCATGATGCAGTTGCACAAAACCACTTTTAAAGTGTTATACTCTGATTTACCAATGACATGTTTTTATTTTTTTCCTCTTTCCCAACTTATTTTCAGGGTCCAAAGGAAGCTTACTGAAAATACAGGGCAGAAAAAATGAGTGTTGGTGCGAACAATAGCAGAAAAACCAATGTTTCAAATCCTTTATTCTCCCAGTATTTGCTAATCATCCTACTAATGAGAGAATTGTCTGGAATTAGTGATCTTGGGGTAAGGCCTTTTTAAAGCAGAAGAACTTTGTTGGGACCAAGCAGTTCTATTCCAGTTTAGTAAAACTCCCTGTGTTTAAAACTACATGTGTGTGCCCCCACCCCCGCAAAACAAAAGATGGTACAACTGTATTTGATTTATAGTCTTGATCTTTAAGCTTCCACTTTCATGGACTTAATTAGGGTAGGCAGGTAAGAAGAGAAATTGGAACAGTGAATGAGAAACTTGATCTAAATGGTAGACCTCAATAGCGAGATTAGAGAGCATAATGCACTGTGTTAATACTTGTATTACTATAACTGGAAAGTAGCATGAGAGATTTTTCCTTTTTTCTTTCTGCATAGCTTATTAAGAATAATGAAGGTAACTAGAAAATGAGGTAATATTTTATAAAATTGTGTTGATAAAGTATGATGATATTTGAACTTGAAGCTATGTAATACAATCACGGAGGGAAAACCTTTAATCCTTTAAGCTCCAATGGAACAGCGAGTTTTTGTATGGGAAGACTACCTGAACAAAGTTCACCAGGAAAGCAAGACTGAAGCTGGTAAATGGCCACCTTTTAGTCCTTTTTCAGAGACAGGTTTGGTACTGTTGTATGTGGCTTGTAAGTGTTAACGAGGGTGGGTGCCACAAGTGCTATCTGTCACTGGTTCAGGGATTTGATTGCACTTTTGCTTTTCTTGACTATTAAGACACACACACACAGTTGCTCTTCCCACTTCCGCCCTTCCTACAGAATTATTTAACTAAAAATAAATGAAAGAAAATGTGAAAGTTTAAAAAGTAAAGGGATAAAATATATTTAATATTGTCCAAGTAATGAAATTTGCTGGCATTCAGCCCAGCTGACACTACATATAGATGATTTTTTTTTTTTTTTGCTACTGACATATCAAGCAATAACGTCATGTCTTTTACTCAACAATTTGCATGAGGTTCTTGAATTTTCTGATCAAGCTTATATACTTTAATTTTGAAACACTCATACTTAGTTACTGGCTTGGAATTCATATTATCATTGTAAAGCTATCCAACAAATGAATTCAGAAAAGCTGGTAATATAGTTCTGGTACTAAACTTAACATTCATGAGTTTGGTTTACACTACATTGAATCCAACTACCAAACAGATATGTGTAGAAACAGTGCCATCATTTTTCATTTTCCCTCATCATTGCTCATCAACTATACATCTGTGGTTATCAAATTTTAAAAGGGCTTTCTGTAAGAAAAACAAAACAAAAAACCACACACAAAATACTCAACCCAAAAATATGATGAAATTTTAATTTTTCTAAATATTTTAAAATTAATAACACAATCATATGAGTTTATGTATTAATACAGTCATAACAAAAAATGCCAAAAATTACACTGGCATTATATGGATTTTTAATTACTGAATGGAACAGTTCATTGTAATAACACTTGTATAGTAAAGGAATAAAACACTAACTTAATGAACGTGTTCATTGTAAATGGTTGTGTATTATAAAACTTCTCCAAAAGAGTTTGTATGTTTATGAAAATTTATTTGTTTCACCTGAAGACCTTGATGTGGTTCTTACCCTAACAGAGTTTAAAATTCACATTCACACTTTTTATATAAATAGTAATAAGTTTAATTATGTAACTAAGTATTTTTATAAAGTATGGCATTGTTGAACTGTTTTGCAGAATTGGTTCAAAATAAATTTCACCTTGATTGCATCTGCTTATTTGAGGTGGGGGAGGGGAGAAGGTGGGAGGGGGAAAAAAGCAGAGTAGCCTTCACATTGAGGGAAGAAGGACGGGAATAAAACATTCATGAGTTTTTTTTTATCCTCTGTAAATTGTAGTTCCATACAGGATTGTGAGTTCATTGTGCATTATTGCTGTTAAAACACATTTTCTAGACTGGTTCACAGGTCCTTGGAAGGAATAGGTTAGAACAATTCTGCCTGGGCTTAAAACAAACCCCTGTGGTGGACAGACAGATGGACTTGGGATCCTTGTGAGAGCAAGTCCAACTTAAAACTCTCAGCTGGCAGTCACTGCCATGCTGTAAGGCAAGCACATATCTTCCCTCTTGGTTTCTCTGGGATTAGCAGCCACTGTTCACTTCTGTCTGATCTTTCAGGGAATTTTATACATTTGTTCTTGTGATAGCCAGTGTTTTATCTCAACCTCATTGAATGTTGCCTGTCTCAATGACCAGTACAACTCAAAGTGCAGATCCTGGCATGTAGGTCAAGGAGCTAGTACTGTTTGAGTTTCAATAATGACTAACACAGCACTAAAACCATTCTTACAGAACTTATAAACTGCAAAGTTTACTGTATTTTTAGTATTTCTGTAATGTAATTAATGTTTTACTATTTTTGATGAGAACAATCATGTAATTTCTGGTAATCTATACTCCTCCCTGTTGTCCATCCAAATCTTGTGATTCCCATTCTGCATGCTAGGCCTGCAGACTGTTTCTGTCATGCATTGTTTCAAGCTGCAGTATTTTAAGAATATGTTTGTAGTATTTTTGAGTAAACTTCCTAACATAAACATGTGTACAGTCCTACTATTTAGATAAAATACATTCCTACTTTAGCATAAAGCATTATGGAAAGAACCTTGTGTGTTCTTACCCTTGCAACCACTGAATTGTCATGTCACCAGGCTTGTGAGTAGCCCTTACAACTGAAAAGTAGCCTTGGAAAGGTGTGGAGGGGGTTGGTGGGTTATTTTAGTTGGTTGGAGTTTATTTTTTGGCTTAAAGAAAGACAGAGTTTGCTGATGGGCAGAAACAAGACAGAACGCTGTCTTACCCACAGTCATCTACAATACTGTTTATTCTAAAATTCGTTTTCTGCAGCTGGAGTGAGTATAAAGAAGTAAACTTAATGAGCCCCCACTTTTGTTATTTATTTTCAACTATTCAATAAACTTCTCAGTTTTTAAGTTTTCCGTGGAGATGCTGTAAATGTTTGTATTTGTGCCAACATTTCCCCGACACGACTTCACTTAGAGCTACGCTGTCATGTTGGATTTAAACCACAGGAGCACTCAACGTAAGCTAAGCAGGAGACTCAAGTCCTCACACCTGGCTTAAGGAATTTAGGGCTAGATTAGAACAACTGATATGGGCACCAGAAGCAGGTCTGGGTGGATAACTGAGTCCAGAACTGTGATTCACCCAATAACTGTTGCCTTGTGCAGTAGGTACCTGGGCTCTGTGCAAATGTCTGAAAGTGTAAGTGCCTTCATAGACACACATCTTGCTCCCACTTCAGCCTCATTGTAGTACAGAAATGAGACTGTCTTTGACCTTCCAGGCACTGCAGGAGAGTGACTCTCACTGTGGGGCTGGGAGCATCCCACCCCGAATATACATCTCTGACAGATAACTTTCCAAGACAGGATGGGAAGAGTCAGGAGTTGGAAATGAGGTGGTTGTATCTATTCTTGATGTAACAGCCTTGACTGCAAAACCTGGGTTCTGTTCAAGAATCCTGGCTAGCTGGGTGTCAGCTGTGAGAGACTGTTGAGAGTTGGAAGCAGAACTCACTGCAGAACTTCGCCCTCAGCTGCAGACTTTAACATTTCCTCAAGGACCAGATTATTTTCTCTGTACTTTTTCCTGGTGACACAGAGAGAGTGTTAGCTACAGAAACAGCAACAGCTTCCCTGCTTCTTTCTCCCTTAGCATAGGGGAGGAAAAGGAGGAGAGTGAGATAGAAGTCAAGCAGCTGAGGTACCACACTTCACTGGGCAGAGGGAAGCAGGCTCAGGGGTGTGGCATGGCAGATGTCATATAGTCTCATCTCTGTCATATTTTGAAAAAGAGGTAGAAATGCAGGGGAGCTGAAGAGCATCTGTTCCTTTGTGCACAGTGGAAATGGGGCAAGTCTAATGCCAAGTGCTGCTTCTTTTTCTCTCTGGTGATTCTGGGCAGCTCACCCTGACTGGTTTCTAGCAGAGTTCCTTCATATTAGTTGGGTAGTCTCAAGCATTGTTTTGCCATCAGAAATTTCTGAGAATGAACATTGATCAGCTCATAGGAAATTAAAATATATACTGAGAGCCTGACCAGGGAGTTACTGGCCCCTGGATCCCAAATAGTGTATCAGACTCTGGGAGTCTGATTTCTTTCCTAGTGAATATATGTGGATGTAGGATTTTGTGTCAGATTTCCCTCCTCTCCATGTATGGGTATGGTGTGCCTAAGAATTTCACAGAGTTCAGACATTACCCATGGGACCCATGTTCTTCTCTGGTCCTACTCTTTGACCTTATTTTCCTTGTCAGTTCTGCTTGCAATCATGCTTTTTGTAGGTAGCACATTGATTATATTTTTTAACATTCTCTTGAAAGGCATAGTTTTTGTCAAATTGTAACAACCACTGTTGTTGCAGTATCAAAGTACTTATAGCACTGTGTATCTTTACAGAACACTGTCCATCTTCTCTTAGTATTTAATTTCCTGTAGGCAAGGAGAAACGTGTTGGCCATTGTGTTGTTTTTGTTTTGTTCTTAAAGAAGACAGGACAGATTCCCAGTTAAACTCAGCAGGGTCTGAGAAACAGACTGAAAATCTAAAAGGGAAACCTGAATACAAGCAGTCTTGATGAATTAGTCATGTACCAACTGGAAAGCTGACTACTGTGAAAGCATTCTTTCTTTAATCAAAAAGCTACTGCCAGTAGGAGCACTTCCTTTGTGCCCTGCTGCTAGGTTATTGAGTGTCTGTCTGAGGCTGCTGGTAAGTACATACTGGGAAATGGATAGATCTGTGTATTTTACCTTTGCCCCTGAAAATCCATCCCAGGCATGCTTAATGATTCACCTTTTTTTCTGCACCTCCACAGGTGCCAGCTGCTGGATTCACCATTCATTCAATACCCTCCACACACACATTTATTCACATTTGGGGCAGCCTTCCAGGGGATAAATGGCTGTTGATCCTTCTCTTGGCTTTACTGTTTGGCAGTGCCAGGGGTGTATTTGCTGAAGTAAGGGAGGATAAGGAAGTATTTCTGCTCTTTCAAAAACAAAATATGATAAATCTCAGTTCAGTATGACTCCTATGATAAAAGTACCACACATCAAGAGAATATCTAAGCATTTGACTGCTTCATCATGAGAACAGTGAGGATTTTTCTCTGCTTCTCTAGCAAATGTAGAAAATGCCACTCAGGGAGAAGCTCATGGTGTGCTGTGAGGGAATTACCATGCTAAATTGCAGCCCCTGTTCAGTCCTGCCAAGCATGCCAAGTCAGTGATTCTGTTCTTGTGGAGAGTTCCCAGGAAAAGGAAAGAGTGTTGGTTCACATTCCTAAGAGTGAAAGCTGGTGACTAGATGACTTAGGTTCTTTGCATGCCTCTATCTCCTCAGTTCTAGCTGGGGTGTTTACAACCAATCAGCTTTTATTTCTCCATCATGTCTGTGCAGTAGTACCATGGACACATATAAGAATTCACAGGCTGGTGTTTTCTCTTTTAAGTGGAGGGTGCCTGGCAAATTAAGTAGCTTTATAAGAGCAAGGTCAGATCTGTACCCCTTTCACTGGAGTTTTGATTTTGTTCTATATTATCCTCTTTACTTCTGGAATTACTCTGACTTTCAAAGAGGCTTATGACTACCACAAATGTATATTATTTCCATTATGCTAAAAGACTAGAAGTGCAATAGAAAAAATTTCCATATTTACATTTTAGTCTAATGTTACTGCATCAAAATCTGCCCATTTAATTTTCTTGACATCTTTATCAAAGGACTGCCATTTGCAAGGAGAGGATTTTTTTTCCACATGGAATGAAGTTCAATCAATTGCTTCAGTGAGTTAAAGGTTATAATGAGCAGACTACAAGTAGGCTAAATATGAGCTCTGGCGCCACTGTCATTAGAATGGCCCCAGCCTTTTCAGACTGCTACTGAAAGTGTTCTGAAGAGCAAGTATGTATATACTTAGCAATAGATATGCCCCTGACTTTAATTGATCAGTAAAGTAGGAAGGAATGACCCTTTTTGCAACCTGGGGATGACAAAGAGCATTTAGGGGGATAGTGGGATACACATCCACTATGACAGGTCAGCATATCTGGTGGAATTGCTCTTGATCTATTGACAAAATAGCCTGGGCTTCATTTGTTCTTTGTTCCAAGACAGACGCTGTTACGCCAGGCAATAAGCAGAAACCTACTGATAGGCAGCATCTCTCCCAGTGGTTTCCAAGGAATTTACCATCTTGCCCAACAACCCTTATTCTCTAATACATAGCATTTCTGACACACTCGCAAGCAAACGAGATCAGTGTCATTATCTTTGTCATTATCCTTTATCAAGGGAAGACGGAGTATTTTGACTCACCCAGGGTCAACTCAAAGACTGTGATCAAGCAGCAGCCAGTTCCTTTCAGTTGGACAATTTTAGCATTACCTACCAACCTTGACTTCTTGAGTCTTGAGCTTGGAGAAGAAAAGTTGCAGTAATTTGGATGCCTGAGCTACTAAAATAAATAAATAAATAAATAAATAACTTTTTAAAAAATTAAAAAAATAAAAGAGAATAAACTTGTATAAAACCTGTGCCTGTGGGGCCTGCACAATCTGGCTTGCCCAGGGGGCCCTGGGATGCAGCTAGCCACCTTTCAGACAGCCCACATGTGGGTGAGAGCTGGACCTTGGTCTGTGAAAACAACAGTGACTGTCAATGGGATCTGCCTTCCCAGGTCACT